TACAAGAGATGGAAGAGAGAATCTCAGGAGTTGAAGACACACTAGGGGAAATAGATTCATCAACCAAAGAAAATCTTAAGTCCAACAAATCCCTAACACAAAATATCCAGGAAATATGGGATACTGTGAAAAGACCAAACCTAAGAATAATAGGTATAGAAGAAGGTGAAGAAATCCAACTCAAAGGCCCAGAAAACATATTCAACAAAATCATAGAAGAAAACTTTCCCAACCTAAAGAAAGACATGTCAATGAAAATACAAGAAGCCTACAGCACACCAAAAAGACTGGACCAAAAAAATCTCACCTTGCCACATAATAATAAAAACACAAAGCATACATAACAAAGAGAAAATATTAAGAGGAACAAAGGAAAAAGGTCAAGTAACCTATAAAGTCAAACCGATCATAATCACACCTGACTTTTCCTTGGAAACTCTGAAAACCAGAAGGACCTGGATCGATATTCTACCTACACTAAGAGACCCTGGATGCCAGCACAGAACCCAGTAAAGCTTTCAATCATTATAGATGGAGAAAACTAGATATTCCATGATAAAACCAGATTCAAACAATACATATCCACCAGTCCAGCCCTACAGAAAGTACTGGAAGGTAAACTGCAACCCAGGGAAGTTAACTACAACCAGAAAAACATAGGCAATAGATAATCCCAACTTACCAACAGTCAAAAGAAAAAAGGGATAGAATTCAACTCATAACCTTCCCACCATCACCAAATAAAAAACAAGAATGAACAATAATCAATGGTCATTAATATCCATCAACATTAATGGTATTAACTCCCCTATAAAAAGACACAGATTAGCAGAATGTATAGAAGACAGAAGCCTTCCTTCTGCTGCATACAAGAAACTCATCTCAACCTCAAAGACAGACAACCTCAAAGACAAAGACCTAGGAATTAAAGGTTGGGGAAAGATCTTCCAATCAAATGGACCCAAGAAACAAGCGGGGGTAGCAATCCTAATATCCAATAAATTGGACTTTAAACTAAAATCAGTCAAAAGAGATGAAGAAGGTCATTTCCTACTCATCACAGGAGAAATCCATCAGGATGAAGTCTCAATTCTGAACATTTATGCCCCAAATACAAAGGCATTGACGTTTATAAAAGAAACTTTACTAAACTCAATTCACTCTTAAAACCCACACACTTATAGTGGGAGATTTCAACACCCCACTCTCACCACTGGACAGGAACACAAGACAGAAACTTAACAAAGAAACAAAAGAACTAATAGAAGTTATGGCACAATTGGACTTAACAGATATCTATAGAACAATCAACCCA